CAACAACAAATGCAATCAAAATGATCAAAACTTTTCCATAAAAATCTTTATTTTATTAAAGCCTAAAATGTTGAGCTTAACGTATTTTAAAAAATAACTGTACAAAATTTCAATTTCGCTTTCCTCCATTCCCGAGTCTTACACGCGAAACTGAGGAGAACGCGAGTAAAAGAAAAGAGCCGTCCGTTATCAATCACTGTCGAAAATCCGGGGCCTTCTTAACCTAGGAACTATGTTTGTGTGATCCTTTTTATCCTGTCCGTCCAGCCTTTTGCAACCGACACTTTGAATCCCAAACGTCGACTGAAACAACAATAAGAAATGGAAAATGCGCCCGCAACACGCAGCTCACATTTTTTTCGGCATTCCCGGCGAGCTTTCGGTCGGTAAAAAAACGAGGTAATTTCGAAACCGAGATGAGGTTTTTCGATGTTTAATTAACGCCGCTTTAAAACGCTTTATTTTATACACGTTTTTTTTCATTTACAGGCAACTCATCGCGCCCAACATCATGCAGAAACACTTTTTGGCTAACGGAGCCGAACAAGTTTCAAAACAGGTAAGTCAAAAAAATAAACTTTATATTTGTGATTCTACAATAGTTGGGTAACTTTTGACCTCATTTTGTTTATATAGTTTTCGGAGAAAATTAAACAGTATTTTGTTATGAGAACATAGATAATATAATACATATACTGTTCCAGACCGGGCCAGTCACTTTTTCAAACAATTTCTGAAACATCTGTGTTTTCTAAATTTGAATGCAAGGGAAGTGACGAGTATACCAGGATACTAATTAAATACATAATTTATTGGAAAATATAAGATTTATTGCAACTTTGAGCATATTATACATTAAATATCTTAAAAACAAATAATAGTGGCGGCTGGTGGATTTTGGGTATACCGATATCTCAATTATTAGATATGGGACCCAAACCAAATTTATATGAGTTTATAATAACAATTAATAAACAAGTTCTGCGAAAGCAGAATTTAAATTAAACTTTGCGAAAAAAAGATAACCGAAACATCGAACATGGAACTGACGACACGGTACTGATGAATGGGATACAAATTTGAGATTATAATTCGGAATTAAGTATTTTACTGATATTTTTTATTAGTGGATGCTACTTATCAACAAATAGCCTTATATAAATAACAATGAAATATATATACGTAAGAAAATAACTACTCACCACAGTACTGAAATTTTGACTGGAACTATACGTGCATTTACCACAACTTCGCCGCTTGCATTGTTTTCAAGATGACTGTCGTGCAAAGGGCGGGCTCTGTAGGTAATTTTTTACCAACACTTGAGTTAAAACGAGGACTTGACGTTTCAACTTTAATATTTCGCAGGAATTTTGAATTTAAACATTAGACACATTAGATAAACGTGAGTACAAAGATTAATTTTTTTTTTTTAATTGCTATTATTCGAATCTATGATAAAATATGAAAAACACATTATTTAATGTTTTATAGTTTGTAGTGAAAATGAAAAATTTAAGATAAATAAACATAATAAATATTCAAAACATCAGTACAATAATTGAATATATTTTAAAATAAAACCACTCAAATATTTGATTCAGGAGTTGTGACACGCCAAGGTACTGATGTTTTGAATATTTATTATGTTTTCTACAAACGTGCTTTTGAAAAAATACAAGTTAAAAAAACCTGTATCTTTTGCAATATACTAAAATATTTACAAAAAATATTAAAATACCTACTCTATTGACTGATGACATCAAGTTGTCCAACTTTTGTAGAATCACCCATATATATTTAAACGAAAACCCGATATCTTTTGTTTTAAAAAATTATAGTATGAGTAGTGCTACCTAATGATATAAAAACTTTAAAACCACTTTTTCACTTGTAGGTGTTACAAAAATTGATTCTATCCTCCGTAAATCTGTTTTTGCTGTAAATTTTAAGCAACGGATGGCGCTTTAGCAAAAACCTCTGTTTACGACATTATAGATGCATTTGATTCCTGAAGGTCAGTTAGAATTTATATGCAGATGAGAGTTTTGCTGTTTTATAATTCAAAAGTTTAAGTTCATTAATTTGCTATTTAAAAACCTATTCACCGTGAAGTGTAATATCTCGGTAAGTAGATTTTTTTTATAAATATTTTATGTATGATACAATAATTTATTTTAAATATACAAAGGGATGTTTTCTAGCTATCTTCCGTGAATCTCTAATATTCAAAATGTATGATTTCTTAAAATTCTTGCATTAGTGCAGAACCACTTATGTTATGTTATTACTAGACCTGGTGCCTTCCCAAAAACCCCATTCTAGACTAACAGTGAAACAACCAAAAATAATCATTTTCACTTGGGGGACATCTCAATATATTCACCTATTTGGTAGCTTTAAGGTAGATTTAATTGACTATATTACATAGACATTAAAACCATCAGACCATGAGGAACTTATATTTTATTGAACAAAATTTATTATAACGTTTATATAAGTAGCACGTTTTTAGATTAAGATAAAAATGAAATTTACTTAAATAAAATCAATATCCTAAAAGTAATTAAAAATGTTTTTATTTAAAAAAATGGATCCTTTTCAAGAATCTAAGCCCTTTAAGGTCTTTAATGACTAGCTGAAAATAAAAACCTAAGACGAAGTCTCTCCCTTAACCGTTTCCAAGACTCGGGTAGACCGACCCGAGCCGTTAAAGTCATTTAATTAAATTTAATACTTCGCGAACTGAATTCCGAAAATCAGGTAAACAGAGTGCGTAAGGAATTGTGCACAGTTGGCATACAGGGGCGCGTTCGAGGGTTTTTACTGGCCATAAAAACGCATTTTAAATTTAAAGACCCGCTCGTTAAATCCTCCACCTTTCATGGAACGGCTCTTTTCAGCTTTAAACCAGTTAAATGCCTTTTCAAGTGTGCACTAATAACGGGGTACCAGTCTATTTATAAATAAATTAAAAAATATTATTTCTTAATTTGAATACCTTCAATAATTGTCACTTGCCCGGGTATCTTGGCATTCCTATTAAAATTGCAATTACTCCATACAGCTTAGATTAATCCTAAGCGACCAATTACAGATTTTCTAATCTGCCAACGAAGCGGGTTATATTTCGTTTAACCCGAATATATTTCAGAGCGCGAGTGTTTGTCAGTGTTAGATAGCGGAAATAGGATTCTAATTTGTCGGGCTTGATTTGCAAGCCCTCACCTACCATACCCTCAGAATTACTTTCCCATACATACATACTTAACCATAAATTTCTATTTCAATTCTGTTTTCAGAATATATGCACTTAAGGGATGTGAAAACCAGTAAGGGAATAACAAATTTGTTTGGTAATGTTATCGCATTTACTTTAACCAAAAATTGACTTGAGATATTTATCTGACATATCTGTTGTTCATCGTAAAAATAAACTCTCCAGCTGGACTGCGGATCCGCAAATAATTAACCTTTCAAATAATGGCGCAAAAGTCTACGTTGACAGCGTTGCCGCTTTGCTGGGTGCGCTATAGCCCAAACATTCTCGGCGGGAGCGACCTTACCGTTCTGTCACGCTTGCGGCACGTGCTACACCCCTTTCTACACCGCACTTTTCGCTCTTGCTTGATGGTTTCATGCTATATAAGTGTATTCTTGGCACCGCTGTGGTAATTTGACTAAATTTTAATTTATTTATAAACATTACATTACAGTAGTTACATTGAGGAAAAAAAAATAATTATCTTATAATCTTAACATTAATTTCAAGTTTAAGCTTTTAAAGTATAAATCAGTTTTAAAGTTCTACATGATTATTTTTTATTTTTAATTGTTTCACTGTCAGTCTAGAATGGGGTTTTTGGGAAGCCACCAGGTCTAGTAATAACATAACATAAGTGGTTCTGCACAAGAATTTTAAGAAATCATACATTTTGAATATTAGAGCTTCACGGAAGATAGCTATATTTGAAATAAGTTATTGTATCTTTTGGCACCTTAATATTTTAAAAAAATACAATTATTGTACATACATAAAATATTTGTAAAAAAAATCTACATACTGAGATATTACACTTTACGGTGGGTAGGATTTTAAATACCAAATTAATGAACTTAAACTTTTGAATTATAAAACAGCAACACTCTTATCTGCATATAAATTTAACTGACCTTCAGGAATCACATGCATCTATAATGTCGTAAACAGAGGTTTTTGCTTATTTAAAATGATTAAAGCGCCATCCATTGCATAACATTGTAAAAAATAATTAATTGCGGTTAAAAATCTGGAACCTGAGCTGTAATATCTACTTAATTATGAAAGATCAAAACACAATAAAAGTGTAGGTCACACTCATTTAGTTTTATTAAATATCACGGGGTAACACCATCGGGGGACATTTCGTGTGATTCACCCATATACACTGTATATTATACAGGCGCAGAAAACAATTAAAATACATTGTATTATTTGTAATAAAAAAATATTTAAAAAACAAAAAAAATATAATTAAAAATAAATTTTAAATAATAAAAATTAGAAAAAAAACTCTACAGCCCTAGGAGGAGGAAATTTCTCGTGTTCATGTAAACTCTCTAGAAAAAATACCTTTATACGTGTTATATACATGAGACAAATAAAATTACGATAAGGCTATTGTAAAATTCTTTGTGATTGGTAACTTTATACTTTACTGTATACTATACTGTATACTTTATACTTTGTATGTTATGAACTAAAATAAAAAATGAAATCAATTTCGGTACTATATATCTTTAAACCCAATAAACGTAAAATATTGTATTTCAAACTTAGTTGGAAAAAAGTTGTCTAATTTCTTTTCTAAACTATCATTCTCTGGGTATTAGAGCAATATTTGCAAATATACACAATCAATAGGAAAATTAAGCTAGGGGTAGATAAACTATTAAAACAAAACAGAATCTGCGTACCAAAACCATACAATTATTTTTTATACCAAAAAAATTTTCATTCAATGATAATTACTTATAATCTGTTTACGTTTCAGGATATCGAGCACTGCTACTACCACGGCACAGTGCAGGATTATCCGGGTGCCACAGCCGCCTTCCACACGTGTAATGGAGTCAGCGGCGTGATCCACGTGGGAAATGAAACTTTTGTCATCCACCCGTTCTACGGTGGTGACCTCTCGGTCAGTAAATCCTTACTTGATAGCCGATTCTATTGCATCCCCATTTTTAATTCTCATCATTTAACAATCATCGCAAACGATTAATTGTAGAATTTTCAGTAGACAGAAATAAGTCATACATTAATCATTTGCTTATAATGAATATGAAATAATAAAACTTAAATTTTAAATCATGTATAAAAACGCAACTATATACAGCCCGTTCAGAGTAAAACCGAATATAGGAAAACGTTTTGGGCGTGGCTTCGCCTCCCTCCAACGCGCGACACAGTAGCTAAGCAAAAAGCCTGCATCGCTAATGAGATTTTTTGCATTATTATCATTTAATTAGTAAGACGAAAGGTCGTCTTACCCGCTCGACCTTTCGTCATGTCGTTTATCACACAAGCTACTAAATTGGGTAAACTTGAAAGTCCTGTATACAGGGCAATGGATAGGCAAGTTAAGAATAAAACCCTATATAAGACGTCTTAGAACTCATAGTTTCTCGATTCCGCCACCAGGCGGCGCCATCAAAGTCACTCGGTATAGCAACGTAATTTTAAACTTAACCCAATAAATCGCAATTAATTTTAATTAAATCAGTGTCATGCAATACATAACGAAGCTGTTGTTCTTGCCACAATGGAGCATGTCACACATATAATTAGAAGCTTGCTCGGACAATTGCCGATCTCACGTCCAGAGAGAGACCGCAAAAACAAACATGGCCATTGTGGCTGGATAATTACGCCTTTCGGGAGCACTTAGATTTAAACTGGAAAACGCACGTGTATTGTTCAATGATTGTTCGGACCCTTTTGAGAAAATTAAACAGGCATAAACCAGACATAAGTAGAACCGTCCACTGCACTTTATCCTTCCTGACTCTCTTCGCTGCGTTATGTAGGTAATTGCTTTACCCTATGTTAACTTAGGTCTTGAATAATCACATTTTCAGCCAAGAATTATAAGATTTAGTTACCTGCTTAACCCTCCCAAGGGATTCACTTAAACTCTGAAGTGCTCATCTTTGACGCAAAAACACTATTTTCTGAATATCATAACATGTTGTCTAATGTACATAATTAACTGAATTAAAATTTCACTGAAATCAAGCTTGAATAAAAAATAAGGTCGTTTTTTATTGTCAGCCAAAGCACAGCCACTTGAGTGGGAATAATCAAACTCCAATTAAAACTTAATTAAGTTCTTAATTTTTTGCTACCACGTTTACTTAATCTTTTAAATTGTCTTCCAGCCAACGGTAGCAAACTGTTAACTAGCTTATTTTTGGTCTTTTTGATCCTTTACAAACGTTTTCGCTACTTCTCCAATTCAATTATGAAATTTTTGTTAAAATACTTATGTATATAATTCTGCTTCAAAATTTTTTGCTGTCAACAGTTTCAGAGTACATTTTGCTCAATAACTTTTTAACAAAGTTTCTGGATGATCTGTATTTTTACCAAAATGATAAGACGTCACATTCTGGTGTAATAATGGAATTGCGCGGAAAGTTAGGTCAATTAATATGAGTATGAGTATGAGAACGTATGGCCCCATTTTTACCACCTTTCAGTTCCCATACGTATCCCGCAACTGAACAGCATTATCTTTGTTTGGTGGATCCAAATTTTCACCCCGGCTGGTAAATCTCTCTTAGGAGGTCGTGGAGTTTTGTCGCCGGGCTGGGCCACACGCCCGATTTAGTCTAGTGGAGTGCAGGCAAGGAGGAAAAACATTGGACTGACCCAAAACTAAGTACAATACAAAATCCGCCTAAACCAGGGATTTAGTACTACCCCCATTCAATTGGGGTTCATGAATGGGGTTTGGGTGGTTAGTTCTCTGTTGGACCTATGGTCGAGGAACATACATATATAGTTTTCAGTAGTCGGCAATGTAACTACGGATAGTTATCAAAAACTGGTCATCCAGAAATTTTAATGTCAATGTCAGTATCAGTGTGCCATGTCTTAAAAATTGGAATTAAAATTCAACAAACAGAACTAATAGAAAATGTAAAACGGAGATTGACATTTTAATTCATAATGAATGTTTTGCGGAAGACGGTTAAACTCCATAATGACCAGCCGTTTTGGGATCGCTTCGCCAGATTTACCTTTTCGTAATTTCCGTTAGAAAACGTATGTGTGTGTATGGCGTGATACATTTTCTACAGACATGATTTGTCAGACGCGATCATTTATTCATGTCTGAGGAAAAAACAATTATAAATTCAACGTGTAACGTGAACCGAATAGGCGATTAATTATTTAATGCCTCTAATGTAGTTTTGATTGGTATTTCGCAGTTTGCATTTAACATGAGTCTGGTTCTATATATATATATATATATATAACAATTAGGGATTTGCTATCAACATTTAAGTAAGATATTTGTTATAAATTTATGTTAATCCATACGTCCCAATGCACCCATAAATTATGTTAATTGCATCAGAATAAACAGACACAATCCAAATTACTCTAAGGCAAATGTCAATGCCCGGTAAACATATGTTGAAACATGAACGTGTTGACCAAATATTAGTTTATAGATGTGTAGCAGTGAAGTAGCATTTTTGTGCTGCAATAAAAATCGCTTAATTTTCATGATTACATTTTGGGCAGATGTTCCAGGATAAGCTGCTTCTCTATAGGCAATTATCCTGAATAATTGATATTAAACGTTCCTTTTCCAAGGGGCCCTAATAAAATGTTTGCACGATTTAACGTCTCTCTTAGAAGACTTTTACTTCTTTTTAGTAGTGTATATAATGCCGTACGAGCCAATTTCGTCGACAATAAAACTAGTAGGAAAAGAGTGGAGTGGATCGCAACTTCAAAGCCGGTCTCGTTAGCTGTGCGCGCCTCTCGTTACTGACGTAACGAAATTAACATCTGATTTGACAAAAGTTTTTCAAGCAGGCGGTTTTTATGTTATCGACAGGGGGTCGGACGTCAGCGGGAGGCAGAGTGGGGGTAATTGGCTGTCAGTTGTCAACGCCCCTTACGTATTTGTAGACGGATTCATTAAAACATGCCCAAATTAATTTTATCACTTTTCCTCGACAAAGGAGCTACCCCAACCAACTGGAATTTTTAAAACATTTATGAAGCAATCTAAAATATAAGAGAATACTAAAAATATATACAGAGTTTCCATAATTGCCGTGCAATACTCTAACAGCAGATTCCATCCACAAAAATAGGAAAAAAGTTTCCATAACCGGGCATTACAATTCAGGTCCAGATGTAATTTGTGATGTCGCACAGTGGGCTAGAAAGCCGATTTAACGCGTAGAAATTATTTGTTTAAGTAACTTTTAGTTAATGTTTATTTTTTTGGTCTAATTGATGAAAGTTTAATAAAAATTACATTTTACTATCATTAAAAAACAAATCGACTTTAACTACAAAAGTATGTTTGTGTAATAGTAAAATTAGGATCCATAGTTTTAATGAGTAAATTACAAAAATATAACCAAACATTTATAAAAGGGTATTTCCATTGTAACGGGTGCGACACTAAAACTGCGTTTTTTTAATAAAGTGTTTGTTCAAATATATCAAGATGCGTTAATATAAAAAAATAGTATAAAAAATTAGGTATTTAACTCAAACAAAATGTCAATAAAAACTTGTATAGAAAACCTTTTATAACGTCATGAATAGCGTAACGGGCTCGACCTTAAAAAATTGGCAAATGCGACCAAGTTGGCTTCTAAAGTTGAAACTGCACAATTTTGGATAAAAGCATATAGTAATAATTTTTTAAGTAAAACTTAATTGCATACTTTATTTTTCAAAATGTTCTCAAAATGTAACGGGTGCGATATTTGAACATTTTATCGAGTATTGAAACTCTACCGTATTTATTCCTAAGTTAGCTTCGTAGCATCACAATGTATGAATATTTTAAGGTTATAAATTACGTTGCAATTAAACTATTTGACTTCAGATATAGTTGTTATTTTGTTAAATAACACATCTGATTTTTTGTCAAGTTGGGGTAAGGTTTCGTGGAAATACCCAAAATTAAACTTAAATAAATGAAAAATAGGTAACTATCAGTAACTACAGTAACTACAGTGTTTTGGTTTGTTAAATCAAGTTTGATAGGTTATTTTTCGTGCTTTGGCAACTTAATAATTTACTGATAGTTATTGGTAATTAATTTAAAATTATTCATTGTTCTCAGTAGCTTTTTTATTAATGGTTCTTATCACCAACGTATGACAGTATTTAATACAATAATATTTCTTCTGGACTTCCAGTTATCTTAAACTAACTTTCTATTGAAATGCTTCAAACCAAACCACTTTACATAGCTCCGTATGAGTTAGGGATAATGCAATAATTGAAAAAAAATAAACCCCCTGGTAATGTCCATACATTTATTGAAAATATGCAGCGGTTACTTTATGACGTAGTTACACTGTTTAAAATATCTGTGGTGTAAAGAGTAATCTTAAAATGGTGTCAAAATCCAACACCAAGTGGTGTTAAAATTTTTGAGAAGTGCACCTACACAGAAAAAAAGGAATAGTTCATTTAACTATATTAATTTACTTGACCCATAAGTTTTTATTTAAATCAACTGTGGGAAGGTTAATATAAACAAAAATTAGTTTGACGGTACTAAAACAGATAGTTATATTATTTTTTTTTTAAATTTGTTAAATTAACCCAGAAAACTTTAGTGAAACCAACCCGCTGTATGGATCAGTTTAATAAATATGTTGTTTGTAAAATAAGAGTTACTTCAACCTGTTAAAACGATTAAAACAATTTGCCGTGCATTCCTGGTTACATAGTGTGTACCGATCGCGGCAAAGGCGGTGTGTATCACGTGATGTTCTTAAATCTCGCCTTTGTTGACTTACATGAAGAGTATATAAGCTCAGGTAGTCCTTTGCTTTGGTGTGACACTACAAGTTGTTCGATACTAAAGAGACCTTAAATAGGTGGAAACAGCTGTCAATACTTGAAGTATTTTAAGTTGGTGGAACGCAC